TCGCAGAGACAACCAAACCTCACACACAACTCTGAGAAAGCACGCAAAGTCAAAATCTCCTCCGACCAGACACGACAAGTTCTTCTGTCCTTCTTTTCACGAAAAATCTCCCCATTTTCGATTTTTGGGGTAAATATCTAGAAATGCTGCATCTTAATATGAAGACATTTTAAACGTTTATAAAATGTTGTCCTATAAGAACAACAAAGTAAAAGGGCATCTGTTTCTGTATGGCACTGAATTGATAACCTGACTTCAGACAAGGCGATCAGACTTTGCTTTTAGCGTCACTAGAAGGGATCAATACCTAATGAATTCCAAACGGCGGAGTTTCAGAAACATAAATGTATCCTGCACATGAGTGCATAAAGTATCCCTGCGGATCGATGAATATGACATTACCCACAGCCAGAGGAATGCATCTTCTTAATTGACCTGAGCATTTTCAAATTAATTCAAACGACAATTAAAATGGATTGGACCGTGTGGCACCTTCGTCCTGGAATCTCTCGGAAAGCTTTTTATTGTGTGTGTGGCTCACCTCATGACCTGGCTTGTGTTTTAATTACCGCTGTCTCCTATCAGGCGGCCTTGGCAATACAACAAAAAACAAAGGAGAAATGAAAGGCTTAGTTTAGCATTTATATAGTGATGGAATTAGCACTATTCAGAGATAAGGGTAGCACTGTCCTCGAATCTAATGTAATTAAAAAGCACACAGCTGCTGTACGAAAACATTAAGGAAGCCACAGAAACCAGAGATGAATCCCAGAAAACATTTAAAATGTTTTTGTGTGATCCTGTTACAAAATCGTCCCTTAAGGAAGCGTCTACATGGTAGGTAGGTAGTTGTTTTGTGATTTAATATTATAATTTGCAATGCTAACACCGAACAGACAGAGAGAGAGAACATACCCTGATCCTGATAATACTGATCATGTTATGCTCATTAGAAGTCATGTGAGTGGGTGGGCACGTGGTTTTGATTTTAACATTTGCTGTTATTCATGTGGTCTGTCATTAGAAGAGAAGCTTGTGTAGATGACCGACAAATGCTCTTGACATTATCCTGACTGAGAAAAAAGCAAAACAGCATTTGATGTGGAGGCTGAAACGGAGCAGATTCCAGATTAAATATGTTCCTGAAATTAGTTCATTTTAGATAGATAACACAGTAATAAGGGGAGGATAAAGAGCACATTAGTGCAGGTGAGCTAAAACTCAAGGGGCTCACAAACACATCTCATTCAGAGAACTGAAAGAGACAAAACATTACCGCTTATAAAAAAAAAGATTTATTTTATTATCATTGTCAAGTGTACAATCAAATTATTCTTTAAACAGACTTGTTGAAGTAGTCGACAAAAAACGATTCCTCCAGATTGAATCTGGTACATCTCTAACGGTCAGTACTCATTCACTGCTGTGTTCTAGTTCCACATCAATAACCAAACTAAAAGACAGTTTCCTGCTTCTTTCCGCTATAAGATCTTAGTGACAGGTGTGTAAATTTCAAAGAAACTCAGAACACGATATGGCAGAAATAATATTCCACAGACTCTCCAGAGGAGCGGACCGTAATCGACTACATTAAGGATGCCTTCTCATTTAGGTAATGATACCTTTGCTCCGTGTGGCTTTAGCAAATGCTTTCCCAAAGATAATCCCTCTGCACAACCTCTCATTATCAAAGCAATCGCCTGACAATGCGAAGAAGAACACTGAAAATTACATGAATTAGTGTAAGACTATGGGAAAAATGATTGCCGATTTAAGACTTTAATTAGGCTCTTGCAAAACAATCAGACACAATTAGGAGGTACCAGTCAATAAGCTAAAACTCATAAGCAAGAGGAGATGAATTAATATTTGATGATTTTTAAATGGTTATTTGAGCTCAGATGCCGTTTGCTCACAGTTGGGTACTAGGTAGGAGAAAGTGTCCACAGCTCTTATTGTGGCTAATAAAGCAGGCGACTTGCAGGTAAATCAGCAGGTGAATCAGCACTGCCTTCCAATGAAAATGGCCATTAGCTTCTAATTGACTTCCTAAGCACCATGTGAGTGTGTCCGGAAACATGCTCTGAATTCTAAAGACGTACAGATGGCAACACATAGCTTTCAGCTAGGTCAAACAACAACTTTCAACATAAAACTTTTCACAGAACTGAACTGTTTCAAATTATTCCAGAACCGGCTGAGACTGTCAGATGTGTTAATAATCCCATAAGAAGCATTACCATCCATTCACTTGAGAGGCCAGACTCATTCTAAATGATTTAGACATTTATTTAGTTTAATTACACATTTGTGCAAAAACAAGAGCCTTGAGGAAATTAATTTATGCCATTTTCAGAAATACTGCTGTTAATTGTTTTACTGCCTCATGAAGAAGACTGATCACCACAGGTATGTTTTCGGCAAAGGTTAGACAAAGTGAAAATCAAACTACAAAATCTAACTAAATAAATCTCACAAGCTTTATAAGACAAGGAGCTTGGAACTGTTGTGGTGTCTGGTTATTTAGAATAATCACAATAATCACTTTTGCTGTTTAGAAGATATCACGCACATTAGTTCCGGTTAATGTTTCCAAGAAAGAACTTTATTATTTCCAAACACAAAAAGTGGTATGAGAGATTTGTAACTGAGCATTCAAAACATCTGTGCATGCTGGTGTTACACCAGTCTTCTCACAAATATCATCCAATTATATTTTATGTACTGAGTTTTCATAACAATCTGCCCACGTTGAAGGAAATATCTGAAGCAAATAAGCAAAAGCTCATTTGGATTTCATAAATAACTCGCTACATTTTCACACAGCAAAGAAATGTCGAATTTAAAACTTGAGTTACTGACCTGCTTCAGACTCTCATAAAGGAAGTGAAAATCTGTGTCTTACCTAATCTTTCTTTTTTTAAATAAAAATAAATTAGAGTCTACCACAGACAAAAGATATGCTGCAAACATGACTGGAGCTGACAACTGTGCAACTGGATTTATTCTGCTAGGCCTTTCTGATCTCCAGCATACACCCAGATCTATATGACACATGTACTCTGTAATCCTACAGTGTATGTGTGATACCTCTAGATATGTATAATAGATCAGGGCTTACAGCATGAAATCCCATGTAGCTGGTCAAGACAATAAAGTAAGGCATCTGGCCAAAGTTCATGTTCATCCGCTCAGTGTTAAACCATTTGTCTTTAATTATTATTTCTCTTGTACAAAAACGCAAATTATCTTCACGTGGCCTGGAGGGGAGTGTGTGTGTGCAGAGGTAGACGTGGTGTTAAGGAATTCTGCCGAGATGCCTTCCCGTTGAAAACATGTGGCTCCTCTCACCCCACAGCCATGCAGCCTTTCAGAGCACATGCCAGTCAGCCGTGATCGCAGGAAGAGCAAACGGGATGGGACAGAGCAGGGATTATAAGGCAGCCTGGTGTTTCCACTGGGGTCTCCCCTGCTGGGCTACATGGTCCCAGCTCCCTTTGTCTGCTGTTAACCCGTTAAATCCCGTGGAAGAGCCCATTCACAAATGTGTCACACACCCCGGGGGTGCATTTTGTGTGGAATAATGATCTTAAAGGGGTTACACAGCATTGCCACTGATTCCCCCCCACCCCACACACACATTCATTTGTTTCCTGGGGTGTTTGCAATTATTGTCAACTCTTGTTTTAAGTTCTTGTAAACACCTTCAAACGGTGTTTTTTAAGAGGATGTCCCAGTGTGGTCAATCCACACCAACACGACTCTTTCAGTCATTCTTAAGAATATTCACGTTCGCATTTTATATGAGGATATTATCCCTCTTATTACTTCATAAAGTACACACTGGTATGCAGAATTAGCAATATAGACCAGGCACTTCTATTCTCTCTCGTGCTGCTGCGTTGACTACCTCCCGACTGTGTGTATATTTGTGTTATAGACAGAGACAGAGAGCGCACACGCGGGAAATGCTGCGGGTTCACTTAGAGAAAGTGTAATTATACTGCAGTAATGCCCTCCATGATTAATGATGTGGGCCTCTGAAACCAAACCATCGGGCCAATGGCAAATTACCACTATAAAAATAAACCATGATGTGAACAGGTCAGAGAGGCCGGAGCACAAAATGTCTCTTAGTGTGTGTGTATATATATACAAACAGTGAATGAGCGAATGGGGAACGAGCTCTAGTAACCCAATTAGAGTTCGTCCACTGTCAGAGACCAGTGCCATACACATCAATGTTATGCAGCTAAGCAGTCATGTACATTTTAGTAGCGTTTCTTTGCATCAACATTTATGAGCGGCTGAGATGAGCTCACAGACAATGACACAGGCAATCAGAAGGAGGAAAGAAGAAGTTGGGACATCGTATCTCTTTGAATGAAGTGCTTAGCTGCTACGAGTAACACCTTTAGGGCTGAGAGAGGAAGAAACAACGATGTCGTCTAAATTCTTGTTGACATTGTGCCATCATCACTGCTCTGGTAGAGCACGTGGCCCAAATGAATATCAAACGGCAAGACCTAATCCTTGCACCACAAATCAATCCCACAAATAAGGCAGTTTCGTCTAAAGCTGAAGAGTACGATAAACTAAACTGCTCCAATTCCTCAAGGGTCTCTTGAGCACTGCAGAGTCAAGTTCACATTTCTTGTCATACACTGACTACACTGCTCTGCGCATAACCACGTTTGATTAGTTCTCCACAGCCCCATCCACCCATCAACACACACACACACACACACACACACACACACACACCCTTCTCGGATGAAGAGCCCTTGACTCGTACCCAAATTGAACTCTTATGCACTCTACTTGTATGAAAGATAATGCCTTTTTGTAGCCAAACGGCAATGGAGTAATTCATTGAGAGCATGGCACCAAAAGTAGCAGCAATCACAGATTCTTGTGGTTATGAATCAACATTTGGAGACGCCTGGGCTGGTGTCATAAACATGACAACTATGCAATTATTTGCCAGTGCACAAAGATACTTGGCAAGTTTTTTTCCCTGAATTTTCCACAAAGTCGCTGCCAGTTAAATCTGAAAGAATAATCAAAAACAGCGTTAAATATATTTATCTATATATTTCTAAAATGTGTAATAGATTATAGTGTAAGTGAAAATTAACTGGATGATATTGTCAGTAACTAATCTCAAAGACACAACACACACACACCATCCTGAAAATGTTAAAAATGAGTTTACTGACATGGTTACTGTAACTTATCAAAAACAATATCGAATTCAAGTGGAACATGAATTGACAACCTCACAGGTGATGGTGTTTGAACGTGAGGATCTTTGCTTTTCTTTTGCTGAAATCTGCACTCAGAACGCAGAGGGGAATCCTTGAGCTGTGAATAAAGAGCTACCTGTCTGGACGTCATGCTGCACTGTTCATTATTCCAGTTATGACAGTGATTTTTGTTTTCAATCATTCATTTGTATGGTTTAAAATGGAGTTTCACACTTGTCAGCACACCTTTAAGTGGCGTCTTCATAAATTCTCACATCCACACACTAAATGAAATGAGAAAAACACGATGTTTCAGCGCAAGTAATTTATCTAACTTTATTGCACATTCAAACAGATAATTAATGACCCATTAAATGCACGGCCCCGTGCTTCCTTATGAGTATGAATCTGAAGTGTGCATGCATCTTAGCATCAATCAGATGAAAGGCTGACAAACGGCCCCATTCTTTTTTAATAACAATAAATCAAAGCCTCCACATGGCCGTCTCTCTGAGACAGAGATAATCAAAAGCAGAGAGAGAGATGGCCAAACATCATGTCTAATGTCCCAACAAACTGAGGATCAACTGTTTCCAATTAGGATTACAAAGACACATGCAAAAAATAGAATGAACCCATCCACCCTGTCTCCCTTTGCATACACTAAAAAAATATTTTACAAAGCATGTATGCTGAAAACAAATCTAAATTCAAATAGTAAATCGTTTTAATGGGTCCCATTTGTCCCATTTTTCTCTCTTTCTTAAACAAGATATGAGAAAATGCTCGCACTTGCACAAAACCTTGTGCACCGTTGTCCGTGTCAGTTTTTCTTTTCTCACTTCTTTCTTTGCTGTTTAATCCAGTCACATCAGCTCCCTGAGCAGGTGAAGTCAGCCAAAGACTTTCCCACGGTCTGAGAGCAAATCCAACGCCCCAAGCCCTTCCTGAGGGCCGGCCATCTGTCCGTTCTGTTTGGAGTGTGTTAGGGGGTAAAGCGTCAGCTGCATGACCAAATTCAACGTTCCAACACACCCCTCCTTCATGAAGAAAAGCCCAAAGCATCCATTCAACTCACCATACACACACACTCACACACACACACACACACACACACACACACAGCTTGTGCCCAAACACAAACAAATCAACACACAAACAGTCAGATGTGACTCCTCACATTCAACAGATTTGCAACTCAAAGCCCTCGCACACAATCTGTTATTGCAATAATTATGCACAACGTGTTCTGTTAAACTTGCCTATAAACACTGACGTTTTCACCAGGTTACAGTGTTCTGCTAACTAAAAACATTAAATGTTAAACAATAAATTCCTGTGAAAAATTAAAAGGAGATCATTTCCTTTCCCTTCTTCCCTCTTTTGCCTTTTTAGGCTTAAAAAGTGAAAGTTGCTGTTTGGTGAAAATCCTCATTATGATGATATCTCTACTTCTCAACAAAGGAGTTCACCACATAAACCTTGACCTTTGCTCCCTCCGAGGATAAATCATCTGTGCCCCTGATTTCCACAGAACAATACAATTTCAGCACAAAAGCAGTTCAAAATGTAGACCCAGCAAATTTGAAAACATCACTGTGGCTCGCCGAAAAAACATCTTACTTTGAATTAGGATTTGCCACGATCATGTGACGCATTTCTTTCTTTCTCGTGCACATACCGCCACCCCCATCCCAAAGCATTACCCCTGCTCTTTTTTCCCCTCCTCAAACTGACGTGCTATCATTTTATTTCACCCTCTCAAAGAGCGACTCTGCCGCTGGTGGATGTGGTCCTCGCACCGGCCTGACGCATTTTTAAAATGCGTGACATTGCCTCTGTGGGAGCATGAGAACGGAGCTTCCTCAATAGTAGGGTCCCCATACCCGGCCCGTAACCATGGAAGCAGATGCCTGCCCTCCCGGCCCTCCTTACCTCCTGTCGATCGCAGGCTGTGAGCTGCTTCGGCAGTGAAAAGAGGCTATGCCTGCCTTTCTCCTCGCTCTGACCGAACTTGCCCCACTCCTCAAAAGGAGCCATTGAACAGGTCACTGGTCTAGACTTGTTTGCACGGTCCAGGGAGCAGCCTTGATGTAACCCTTGCTCTCCTCTCTCTCTCTTTCTCTCTCTGCCTGCCACACCAGCAGCCCAGCGACTGCAGACTGTGGAGGGGTGGCGGGGGGGACATTGGAGACGTGGATTTGAAAAGGAGCCCGTCCGATTTTGCCATTGTGCCTTTTCATTCATCGATCGAATGAATATCGAACCTTCTGTCCCTGCGTGTGTGAAACGGATAGCTTAGCAAGCATTTTATTCTCTCTCTCTTCTCAGGTCTGTTTTGCGGGCCCAGAGCTGTGATTTTCTTTTCTCACTAATTGTAATAGCGTCATTTTTATTTAAAATATTTTTTTCTCTCTCTAGTAATGCTGCTACGGTAAATTTAATTTTGATAGGTGATTGACGCAGAAAAGAGGATTGGAGGATTTTTTTCATTCTTCACAGATCAGTGAATAATCTGATGTCTTTGATTTAGAGTGCATGTTTTTGAAATTGTATTTATTGATTACACAAATTTCTACATCCGTGCAAAAAAAATAAAATCATGTAATAGTGTAAAAAATCCACAACAAAAGCATTTCTAAGTTGTAATGAATAAAACAATTAGGAACTGACATTGGGTGCAATCAGAGGTGTGAAGCAATTATGTATTTAATTTTTAATACATTTGCTACACTCCAAAAATAAATCTGAACCCTTTGTGACAACTACTTCAATCTTATGGCGAAAAAAAGGCAAAACAGATAAAAACTTTCAAGTGAAGCCTGATTTGGAAAAGCTGCTGTTTGTGGCTGAAATTATAAAGTGGTTGGTTTCTTATTTTTCTTGGCAGAATTTCATCATTTTTATATATAGGAAATTAAGATGACTGCATAAATTATTGTGTTATCTGATCTAAACGAATATTTTTACAGAGACAAAATAACCATAATTAGCATTTTAAGTCACAATACACTTAATTTGTCATGTCCTGGTAATCAAGAACAATTACCTAAATATAATAATTATTTCAAGGCTGCTAAAATGACATCTGTTTCTGTTGACATAAAGTGTGTGTGTTTATATATTGACCTCTTGCAGTAAATGGTTATGGGTGAGTATATGTGCATTTGACAGGGTGATGGAGAGAGAGGGCAGGCAAGAGCGTCGATGACAGCTTTAGTAAAAGGTGAGGCGATCAATGTCAACATATCAATATTGTTCCATCAGTGACGAGGCCACAGATAAGGTGACTATTTGTTTAATCGGATTCATAAAGCAAAACTCATTTTGTTGTTTAATTGACACGTGATTTTATGCTTTGTCCCACTTTCTCTTTAACATTAAACGTGGTGCAGTAGTAAAACAGCAAAATGAATTGCTGGTTTGTTTTCATGATTTATCTTACACATTCAATATGTACAATAAATGTAAAGAATCTAATTTATAAATGCTCACAAAGCCAGTTAATGTTATCAATGAATTTCATTCGTTTTAATATTTTGACTTATCTTAAAAATAGTTCTAATGCATTTAACAGCCTGAAGTAATATATATATATATATATAATATATATTTTAACTGTGCTTAGATGCATAATGAGAGTTAAAAATACAGCACATAATCAAATGAGATGAAAAACAAATTGTAAAGATTGTGAACATACTACTTAAAATCCAATTTGGAAAGCAAAGCCTGCGAAGAGGAGCAGTTATAGCTTCCATGCTCCATGTGACAAGTTGCTATGCAGGGGCCAATCAAAGGGGGCAGAAGGGGGAACAAAACAGGGCAGAAAATGAGCAAATTCAAAGGCACAGGACAGAAAGCAAAGGAACCAGTGAAGTAAGAAGGCAAAGGCATTGTGTTCGCACAACAATCAAGTCTGCTCCCACAGTGAGTACCAGGCCTGCCTCCGAAAATATTGCAACCACCACAAGCCACATAACAGCACAAAACCAAAGGGCTTCGGCAAAAGGTCTGCTTCATAAAATTTGGCTTTATGTAAAAATTAATGATGTAATTAAACAGGCGGAAAAGCAATGTCGCGAACAAACAGCAAAAAACCCTTTTGGAACAATTCAGTATTAGTTTGGAGTTTTATTTTATTTAAATTTAGTAAGATTATAATCAGAGAAACAAATCTTCAAAAACAAATTATTCTGAAAAATGCTGATTTAAATAACTCTAATTAATACTGAATACTTCTGAATACCATTATATGTATTTGTGTGTGTGTGTGTGTGTGTGTGTGTGTGTGTGTGTGTGTGTATTATATTCCTAACAATAATCATAATAACATTAATAAAAAGAGCAAAGATTTAAAGAGTAAAACATATAGTGTCATTATTTAATATAATATACCTTTTCTGTAATCTCTCTCTCTGTAATCTATCTAAAGGAAATATCTAAAAATGAGTGTAAACAAGTATAAAATACAGTAAGAGTAATAATGCAGAACATAATTTATCCTTTTGGTTAAGAAAAAAAAACAGACCTGTGGGATACTAACAGCAGTAGTGACATGTTGAAAATAGAGCTGGTTTGAGCAGGAAAAACTGTGGGGATGGGGGGTGTGGGGGTGAGGGGATGTCTCGACTGAACCAACATACACACCGACAGGGACGGGACGGCCAAATATGCCACAAAGACACGCTCAACCTTCCTGTCTCATATTACACACTAGCCCCGTATTTTACACGAGATACAATATTCAAAATCAAATTATAAAAGGCTGTGCTTTGTGAACAACAGGGAATAAAATACAATAGGGAAGCTTTTTATATTTCCAATTCTAGCTAAAATAATTTTTATACTACAGTTTTAAACCAGTTCCAGACAGAGTTTGTCTTGGCACACAACGTGGTTTAAAAAATACAGATATCAGAGTCAAATGACTTTTGTTGAATTTTGTCCTTTTTTGTCTTTTCTCCCTGAGTAGTACAGAGGAGGGGATCAGAAACTGAGCCTCACAGATCTGGTAGTGTTCATACTCTATCAATTGTATTTTGGTTGTAACTAAATATCAGGCAAAGCATAAATCTATTAAATGATAACAAAGATCAGTGTTAGATTTTTCTGCAACTCACACACACACACACACACACAGAAGCACAGACACACACAGCAACAGCTTTGGCAAATGTTCCCTGGGACATACAAGTAAACCAGCGTCCCATCATCACCATCATCATCCTGCCTGGAAACAGGGGCAGCCGAATGCCAAGTGCAGCTCCACCACGTCTGCTCGCAGTGCTGCAAAGACACGACCCAGTGTCAGCAGCACATACGCATCATTACAAGGCAGCGAAGCAAAGCAAATACATGCCATCGTTTGCAAATGCTGAGAAGTTCCAGCTACCACTCTCTGATTTATTTATTTTTTTTCTGATCCTGTTCCGGTTTCCTGAATTCAGATTGGGCATACAGCAAACTGTGTGACTACAGATTACATGTGACATATCTGCACAGCAATCATTCATTTTAATGTTAGCTGAGAAGACACACACTATGTATTGCTCCTGTTGGTAATTAGAGTTAGACTGATCAGCAACTCAGAAGTCAGCAGCTACATTTCTGGAAATTGTCAATATCCCTTACCTTAAACAATCTATATCTATATATAAAAAGAAAAACACACACACACACACACACACAGTATATGTAGTCCTCTTTACATCAGAATTATATTAGTGCAAGGGTCTTACAAATGTTAAAAGCCTCTCAAACAGCATTTAGACCATCATGAGACACTACAACTCCCCTGAAATCCAAATTAATGAAATTCTTTCAGGGTTGTCAGGGTGACCGACCACATCAATTCAAAGGCGTGAAAATCCTGGAAGACACTGCGCCCTTAAATAAAGAGTTAATTCACAAATTTAATAATTAAACAAAATAATAAAATGTGTGAATAAAATCAAACTCCATTGCATTC